TTGTAAGAGTACTGCTTCCAAAGTTTGCAGCATTATAAATGTAAGCACTGGCATTGCAGTCTCTGTACTAGCACAAAAACAAGCCTCGTTTAAAACAGAACCCGGTCCATTAAAGGCTCTGGGAAAGTCTTTTTGCCAATCCATTTACTAACTGGTTAAATATGCATGAGGCTTGAATAAATCCCTGAATGGATCGACACTGTCAGACGAGCTTAAAGCTAACATATCCGTGTTTGCTCAGTGATCTGATCTGTAGATTTGACTTTGTTTCAAATCAGATTTATCATTTATTTTTCTATCCATTGTTCACACCATGTTACTTACATTGCCAGGTCATTGATTTGCATGTAAACTTGCACAACAGGTTGTTTCAATGAGATGATCTGTATTAGTAATCAGCATATTAGCAGTATTGAGGGTAATGCATTACAAGTAGCATTAATTTAGCAATGCATTAGTTTGTTTTTCAAAAAACCACTATTAATGTGCATGCCCTGCACACATGCCAGAAACACAAACATTAGCTAAGAGCTGGTGATTCTAGCCTCAGCAAACCGCTTTACAGGTCATACAGAGCGGTGTGTTTGTGTTTAGGGAGTGTGGATTGAGACGCTCCCTGTCCGTCGTGAGTTTCTGTGTTCTGTTCAGGCATGCTGGAGCAATGTTGTCGAACAAGTGTAAAGTGATCATCATCCAGCCTCCACAATCCTCCTGTGTTCTGAACTGAGGGTTTCTATTGTGTGCTGAAGCAGGACTCTGTTGTGTTCATTCAGAAAAAAAACAGATCCCGGCTCGCGGAAATCACATGAAGCAGATCTTCCTCACTGATGTTTTACTTCAGCTCATGTGATATTGTGTTGAGTGTAGTTGGGCAGGGAGCAAAAATGTTTTATGGGGATTCATTCATTCATTCATTCATTTCTTGTCGGCTTAGTCCGTTTATTAATCAGGGGTCACCACAGCAGAATGAACCGCTAACTTCCAGCATATTTTTTACGCAGCGGATGTCCATCCAGCTGCAACCCATCACTAGGAAACACCCATACATACCCAGCGTTTTATGGGGATTCATTTAATTGAATGTTTATCGATAATTTTCTTATAAAATGAAATTGATGAAATAAGTCATTTAGAATTTAATTTAATTGTGATAAAATATTTAGTTTATAAAAATTTTATGTGATAAATTTAAATTTATTCTTTTTTTGTTTAATCTAATACTTTAAAGTAAAAATTAAATAAACAGTTTTAGTTTGAATTTAATAAATTTTTAATTTAATTTAAATATTTAATTTGAATTAATAACATTTTTATTTAAAAATTTATTTTTGTAAATAATAAAAAATTATTTTAGATTCATTTTAATAAAGTTTTTAAACTTTTTATTTAAATTAAATATATATTTAATTTATTAAATGTTTTATGTAATCTAATTTAATTAGATTTTAAATAAATGTATTTAATGCGATTTTATTTAGTAAGTGTAAGTCAGTAAAATTGGGCAATATTTTTATTTAGTTTTTCATATTAACATGGATCAATATAGACATGGTAATGTCATTGATTTTGTTATGAAAATTAAGGTGTTTAATATTTTAATAAAATATACGAGTTTACTGTTAAACATATTATTATTATTATTAATAATAATAATAACAATAATAATAACAATATAATAGTAACAAAAATAATAAAAATAAATATTGTTCTTTTTATTATTGTTATAATTATATTACTATATTAATAATCATACTAATAGTAATAATAATATAGTAGTATAATAATTAAATAATAATATAGTAATATAATAATAATAATAATAATATAGTAATATGATAATAATAATAATAATAATAATAATAATAATAATAATAATAATTATTATTATTATTATTATTATTATTATTATTATATTGTTAGCTCAAAAGTAATTTATTTTAAACTCCATGTTTTCAAATTAAATTTATATTTATTATTTTTTGTATTTAATATAAATTATAAAGTTTTTTCCCGCATAAAATAATGCTAATTTAATTTACATTACATGTTAAAATGATTAAATTATAATTAATTGTAATTTACATAACAATAATTATTTATAATTACCTGTACAATAATTACACAACAATACGATAATAATTCATAATTAGTATTTAGTATAGAGCAAAAGACACAGCCGTGCTTTGAACCTGCAACTTGCATTACTTTGGAGAAATAATACTGTCTCTCACATAATCAAAACTGATCCTCCAGAATGCATCTTACAATGTAAAAACAGCATTTATGTGTTTTAAAAATGTGTGATCTCACAACTGTTAGTGGCTGTGTAGCACAGACTCATGGGATTGTGTTTGTCTGCGTGTGTCAGGATCTGTGTGAAGACCCTCATCTGTTTGTGAACGGCATCAGTGCTCATGATCTGAACCAGGGGCAGCTGGGAAACTGCTGGTTCGTGGCCGCCTGCTCCAGTCTGGCCTCCAGAGAAGCCCTATGGCAGAAGGTGAGCTGAACACACACAGTTCAAAAATACTTCTGGGTTAACCTTTGTCGATTGTTCAAATTGACTACCATTCTGTTAAATTGGTGGCTGTTTTTGCCCCCATTGACTTCCATTATAAAGACATTCATTTGATTGTAAAGCCATGACAGTATATAATCATGCATTCTTGGTTGTTGGTGGTTTTCCCTGTTGGGAAGAGGTACATTTGTCATTTTCACTGTTGATCATCAGTTGGCAGCATTAACCCTTTAGATAGGCCTGTGCTAAACACTGTCTGGCTTTTATGTGGAGTTGTAGAGAGTAAAATAGTAAGCATAGTAGTATTTACACACACACACACACACACACACACACACAAACACACACACACACACACACACACATGATAATCTGCTGTGTTCTCAGTGCTGAGCTGATTATTTAGATTTCTCAGACATATCAAGAAAAGTGTGTAAAGACCTCTTTCTCACACATGCGCGTAAATATTTTCAACACATTGTCCCAAAATATATGTCAAAATAAGTTTTATCCCCAAAAATCATTCCATTTGCTGAAACAGAGAAAGTTGTGGACAAATTAAGGCTCAAAGTCAGCCCAGAGTGGATAAAACCATCCCCAACAGCACACAAGGGTTACAGGGACAGCTCACACAGCAATTAAAGTGCTCACCATATCCTCACAGTCAAGCAGTTCTAACTAGTGATGATAGTTGATGATGATCTTCCATGGCCAACTTACAATGTTTTACTAGCAAACTGGCTGATTCAATACTGATATTTATTTAATATATATATTTTATTCATTTACTTCACTTTAATTTACTTTACTTGCTTACTTAAATTGACTTTGCTTGCTTGCTTTACTGGCTTGCTTTTTAAGTTTGCATTTATTTGCATTACCTTACTTTACTTACTTACTTGGTTTACTTACTGTTTACTTGCTTACTTTACCTACTTTACCTTACTTAGTTTACTTACCTTAATTACTTTACCCCATCTTACTTACTTTACTTTACTTGGTTTACCTACTGTACTTTACCTAACTTAATTTACCTTACCTACTTTACCTTACTTTAATTTGCATTACTTTACCTTATTTACTGTACTTACTTTACCTTACTTACTTGGTTTACTTGCTGTTTACTTACTTGCTTATTTTACTTTACCTACTTTACCTTTACTTACCTTAATTACTTTACCCTCTCTTACTTACTTTACTAACTTTACCTTCCTTATTTAGTTTACTTACTTTACCTTATCTTACTTATTTTACTTTACCTTATCTTACTTACTTTACTTTGTCTTACTTACTTAGTTTACTTTCTTTAGCTTATCTTACTTGCTTTACTTACTTTACTTTAACATATCCTTACTTCGCTTGCTTGCTAACTTACTTTAATTTACTGTGCTTGCTTGCTTTACTTGCTTGCTTATTTACTTTACTTTGCTTTTCTTTGCTTTACCTTACCTCCTTCCTTTACCTTGTTTACTTTACCTTACCTACTTTACTTTACCTTACTTGGTTTACTTACCTTACTTACTTTACCCTATCTTACTTTACTTACTTTACCTAACTTACTTAGTTTACTTGCTTTACTTTATGTAACTTTCTTTACCTTACTTTACTTTACTTACTTTACCTTACTTACTTAATTTACTTAGTTTACTTACTTTACCATATCTTATTTACTTTACTTATTTTTTCTAACTTTACCTTATCTTACTTGGTTTACTTTACCTTATCTTACTTTACTTACTTTACTTTACTTGCTTTACCTTATTGTATGTTACCTTACTTTGCTTGTTTGATAACTTCCTTTCCTTTGCTTGCTTGCCTTACTTGCTTGCCTATTTACTTTGCTTTTCTTTGGTTTATCTTAATTTACTTTACCTTACTTTACCTTACTTAGTTTACTTACTTTACCTTACCTTACCTTACCTTGCTTTACTTTACCTTACTTTACTTAGTTTACTTCAAAAACATCCAAAAAATCCAATAGTATCTGGATGCAGCCTAAATGATGCAAGCTGAGATTGCATCACTCAGCGATGCAATGTCAGACACGGTGCACTCAATGGAGTGAGTGACATCACTGTGACGGGTGGGGTTAGGTGAGCACATTAAAAAGCATTGGATGCAGCTCAGATTGCACTGCACCAGGTCTGCATCCAGACCCCTCTCAAAAAATAAGCAATTTTTGTAAAAGTTTATCTTTAGTGTAAATTTAAAAAAAAAAAAAAAAAAGTTTTTTTTAATGAAAATGCAAGAATCCTTAGTGTTATTGTAATTCTTAATTTAATTCAATTTTTTTATTTGTTTTCTATTTTATTTAATTTAATACTGATTATCCACATTTACTGTGAGACTTTTAAAGTAATGAATTTTCTCCTTCAAGTTGCTCTGTAATCTCAGATTTCAGCCTCCCACCTGGACCTCCTTATCATTAATCTAGTTAATGAATAGGTTAAATGTCCATGAAAAGTTAACCTTCCCCCTAGAG